TGGCGTGGCTGGGTATGAGCTTTTTTAAAATTGACTGCTAGCGGTGCAGAACATCACCCACTAGGTGTCAAAATGGGGAATTGGGGGTTCGGGGCCAGTCCTTTTTGTTAAACCCTGAATATGGGTGTAACATGTTATGAAACGTGACCTTTTTCCTTTAAACTGCTTAACAGACAGGACTACCCTCCTGTGGATACCCCAGCAGGTTACTAGAAAAAAAAACATGCACCAATGGAAGACATGCCAGTCCAAATAGATTTATTAGCTTACATTTTAAAAGCCACAAAAAAAAAATCAGGGCCAGAAAAACCTTCCCCTTCATCAGGGCGTCAGTTAATATAAGAAATCTGAATGAACTCAAAATAGGGCTTTCATGTGTGAATCTTATGTAGGGAAGATAACTGCTGGATTAGGAATACTACTAGCCAGCAATATCTGTGAACTTCCCTACAGAGTCACACACAAAATCTCTATTTTGAGTCCGTCCAAGATTGTTTTAACTGAAGCCCTGATGAAGAGGGAGTTTTTTTTTTTTTTTTTCTGGCCCCTGAAGCACTTTTTTTTTTTTTTTTTTTTTTTTTTTTTCTTTTTTTAAGTGTAACCCAATAAATCAGTTTGGTCTCTCCTATCATTTATATGGTGATTCCTTCCATTGGTGCATATTTTTTTTTCAGGTGCCTTTTTAAAAGACAGTAGGTGAAACACAATTCATAAAGCTTTGAGCTGGAGTCTATTATATTCATTTTGTTAGCCGTGTTTGGAAGATGACCTACCTCCTATACCAAGTTGTACACTAGAACAGAGGTTTGCTTTAGTGTTTTTTGGATCCAGCAGTCCCTTGCACACAACGTTGTGCCATTATTTGGTTGGACCACCAAGGAGAAGAATAATATGGAGTTATCAGTTATCTTGTAGTCTTGTTAACTGGGCTTGACTGACAGCGCTGGTCATTGCAGTAGAGTCCTGATTGGCTTAAAATGAGGATTGCATTAAGCTAACTAAAAAAAAAAAAACATTGAAGTGAAAAAAAATATTAAAGTGAATCTAAAGCCAAATTGACTGAAAATCCCAAATTTTGAGTTGCTCTCAGAACCGTAATAGAGGGGAATTGAAAGACAAGTGACTTCTGTGATCGCCAATGAAAGAAAATCTATATGATCAAAAAAGTAACTGTTGCAAAGCAATATAAGCACACAGTACATCTGTCTGTTTGTCATAAAACTGAGGACACCTGCTTGCTCACCAAAGCATAAAAGACAACCCTGCATCCAAGAAAGAATAAACTATATCCAAAGGAAAGTGAATATGAAGCTGGTATATCAGAAGCAATAAACATGAGTTACCTATATATTGTAAAATGATCCTTACAGTCGCGATTAGTTTCCTGTCAGACTTATGGCTTGTCAACATTAACAGTCGTCCTTGAGCTGTAATCGTGTAGTTGGTGATGGTAGTAAAGCAAGGTCCATGTCAGGTGTTGCCAGGGTCCCACTAAAATGTGGCCAGTAAGGTCTGGAAGAGTCCTGCAAATGGGCATCCTATGAGAAGACCCAAGCCTTGTCAATTAGGGCATCTCAGACATGCCACTCTCTTTCATCGGGATTAGAGGAGAAATCTTCCAATGGGGAAATCCATTCTGGTGACAGCTGTCTCAGATCATATTTTGCCTGGAGTGAGGCTTTAATACTTTCCTTGTGCTCCCATGCCATACTGATTTGGAACATGTGATTCTACCCCCTGCTTGCTTCAGTGAAGTGCACACCGCCTGAAGGTCGAACTAAATTTCCCATCAGTGAACCGTTTTATTGTCTGTTGGGTGAACTGGAACTGAGGAGGAGCCCAACGGATGACCAAACAAATTGTGAGGGAAGGGTCTGTAGCCTCTGTTTAAGTTTTGATTGCATTTCATGTCCCCATGCCTGACATAGAACCCTATTTTCAGTCTTCTTTGTAATGCAAAAAAGCTATTCCTAGGCTCACCACCTGAATATCAGTCTTTCTGCGTGAGAGACTGCAATGAGCCTATAGGTGTCCATACTAAAATTTTCCCTTCGCCTCTGATCAGATTGATGTCTTCTTCTAGATTAAAATATGGTTGCAGTGTGTTGGATACTGAAGAATTTTTTTTAGGAATTCTTTTCCTGCATTAAAAATAAGTTCGCAAAAGGAGCTTCCCAAGTCAACAGATTATCAGGGGTGGTTGGTGTACTTCAGTAATGTCTGGATGAATTTCTAAAGCTCTGAGCAGGTACACCATGCTCTCTGAATTCATTTTCAAGGCTTCATTTTCAGTTTTGAATGCTGTGTTCTGTAAGTTTTTGAAATGTTCATTTGTGATGTTTTTTTGGTGACTGCGCTTATTCAGTATAACATTTTTATTAATGTTTAGGGAATTCTGCTCCTTAATGGTCATGTTAGAAGACCCTTCTTTTAACCAATCTTAATAAAGTTGGACTCAAGGCAGATTTGAAAAAAAAACAAACAAACAAATCTATTTTATTTTTTCAATGCAGCCTCTGTAAGTAGAATAAAATAAAGACCCAGCCAAAATATGTAAAAAACTAAAAAAAAACCTGAAATATATGCAAAAGGAGAAGAGAAACCTCCCATAGTGTAAAACCGCTTTATTGGATAAAGAAAATTTTCCTAAAATTGCAGTTAAACCATATCAAAAGAACACTGTATGCACAGTATCTGGACTAGGATGTCCTTTAATATATTGTGATATCAGCTACCCCTGCATTCCAGACTTTGCGTAGGTTCACATCTGTCCCCGCAGCTGTATCCACCCGCACAGAAAAACACAGGACATGTGTGCGGTGGCCATTAATCCTAATGGCACAGCACATTCACTGGAAATCATTCCCGCACTGGGAACCACACTGCACTTGCTGTTCCCGTGTGAGTTGTGATTCCAGAAATAATGCAGACATTTTCCCTGCATTTCAAGAGGCACGGCAACCCTTTCAAATGAAGAGGCTGCCGTGCACACGCAAAAGGAGGGAGAGGTAGCAGTGGGGGCAAATGGAGTACCTAGAATACATATACTGGCAGCGGGAGAGAGCAGAGAGATGAGCTCATCAGTGAGCTGATATTTCCTGTCCAATCACAGGCAGGGAGTTGACCAAAGCTGTATCGATTAACTGAAGTAGAGAAAAGTCATGTCACCAGGCTGGATGAACATGACAGTCGTTTGACAGCTGCTTTTACCTGCCTTCTTTTTGCTCCACACCACTCCATCCACTGCTGGGAGTGAGTCAAAAGTCCTGTATAAGCTCTGACTATATCTCAGTTGGAGCTTACACAGAGCTGAGGACTGCCTCCCAGCCCCCCACAATTTGTTTTTTGAACATGGGAAAGTTTACTAACTGTATCTGATTTTATTTTTTGAGAATTTTGCCCCTATTTGTGGGGATTTCACCTAACTTCCTGTCCTAGTAATGCAACAGGCAATGTGAACGAATCTCCCCATAATAAAGGCATTATCCTTCTTTAGGCAGCTGTCATTTCCTTTACTGGTGACTATTGTAAGTACCTGGATTTTTTCTACACTTTCTATTCTGATGAATATCACCAGGACAGGAAGCAAGAGGAAATCTCATCATGTGGACAAAGGCAACAATAACAGTCTGACAGAAGTATTAATTCTTTCCTCCTAAATCCAAAAATCAAACGTTTTTGGCTGAGCTTTTTTGTGATTTTTAGAATCCTGTTTCAAAGTGGTCTCTTACTGAAAACCAGAAGAAGTATGGAAATCATTATATATATATGTAACATTTTTACTATGTTTATTTTCCTGCAGGCCGTAGAGCAGATGACATATGGCCTAGTTGCTTTACTGCCTCCCAAACTCAACAGTACAATTTGCTTAGGAACTAAGGTCATTTTGTAGAATTCAGGAGGATCAAATGCATTGGAAACAATCCATCTGCCCTTGGGGGGGGGGCGGTAAATGTCTCTGATCTCTGTATGATGCAGCATAAGCATGCAAGGTTAGCTCTGGTCAGGGATGGAGAGAGTGGAGGGGGGATGAAGTAAGAGGCGTTGGCTTTTAACCGAACTCTAATATTTGTGTACACGTCTTCTTTAAAGCCAGTGCATAAAAAGCCACATTCAGTACCTTTCTGCAATAGATATACATTGTTCTATGTTTTGTCTTTTTAAAAAAGCTGCAATAAGTAACATTTATTTTATTGATCTACCAGAAATCCAGTGAGTTCCTAACTTCTGTGATAAGCTGGTAACATGGCCACGTCTGCACTGAAATCCAAAGCGGTGTCCTCAGCCCAGCCCTGATTACCTGTGTTGGACTGATGAACACCTCCCCTTATGTTATAGAAATGAGGAAATCCAGCAGAGTAGAATTGGACAGGGCTGACCATGCTGCTTGGACTTCTAATTCAGCAACGGCACTGTGTTGTCAGCTCACACCTCTGGTAGGATCCACAGGTATCTTCTGTACTTGCGGCATAAAACATGGATGTATTGTATATGATGTATTGCATGTGCATGCATTGTAGAGGCGTGCTGTGTTTGGTTACTTTTTTTTTTTTTTGTTTGATTACAGGTCCTCCTTTGGCCTGCCTCACACCAATGCTTTTTTTAATGCTTTTTGCACAAACTCTCTACAGTTCATTTAACATGGTTTCCTATGGGACACATTTACATCTATGCTTTTTTGAGCTGCTGCGTTTTTAGAAATGGTCCGGGACTTTTTTAAACACAAAACGTTGTGGTTTTGGTCCAATAGACTTCAATGGAGACGCTGCAGAATACGCATGTAGTGCATTTTTGAAGCGTTTTTGACTAGTTTTGCATTTTTAATCTGCCCAGCTGCAAGTTGGCCCAAAAGAAAGAAAAAAATGCATCCAAAATGCGTTAAAAAAAAAATGCAAATGGGAGAAAATGCAAACTGCATTGGTGTGAACCAGGCCTTAAGCAAATGTGTTTGACATGTAAGGAGTTCTCACTGATGTTGTTTCCTGTGTTCCTCACTAAAGGTGGTGATCAACTGTGCCATTCCTAAGGGGCTGAAGTACAACCAGGCGACTCAGACCTTCCACCAGTGGCGGGATGCACGACAAGTTTACGGGCTCAATTTCGGGAGCAAAGAAGATGCCAATGTTTTTGCAAGTGCCATGATGCATGCCCTGGAGGTGTTGAACTCCCAGGAATCTGGTGAGTGTGAAACTCTACTTCTGTTCTCATGGTCGGCCAAATACAAAGTAGGAGTTGTTGGGAAGTATAGGATGGTTTAAAGCGATTTTCAGACTGATTCTCTAATAGTTGTTTATTCTGTATATATCTTGCCTTTGTGCCTCTACCTCGACAACGTAAAGAAATGTTTAAATAAAACTTTCAATATTATATTGAATACCTTTTCATAGACTGTGATGTCAACACTGGTCCCTGCGCCTCTCCATGCAATGCAGGCAGATCATGTCTGGTGGGAGGGGCCAACATGGCTTTCTGACAACATCACAGCACCCTGCCTCTGCACTCCTCTCAAGAGCCCAGTCTCTGGTGCAAGCAGCAGCCTGGCTCTTGAGAGGAGTTATGGTCCTGGACATATGAAAATATCTTGATGGGTAAATGTCAGTCAGAAGAAGAGCATGTTCTTAGGCAGCCATCATTTTGTTGTATGTAATGCCCACATGTGATGCTGAGCCTTCATGATTGAAAGAACTGAAATTCAATAAATGAAAGCAGTGGGCCAGGGATGGTAAGGCTGTGAAGGAAAGAGCTAGATGATGCTGGATGTCATCCTGAAAGGAAATGAGGTGGCCTCTGTCTGACTTGCTGCAGGTTCTAATACACACTGTGAGAGGTTTACAGTATGCGGTGAAATCGGAGTAAGCAATTTCAGTACAGCAAAGAAGTCTGTGTATCTGTTCAAGACTGAAGGGATGGCTGGATTTCAGCTTTCAGTTTTGCCAAAGTTGCCAAGTGGCCAGTTGTTTGCAGGTTTAAATGGCAACTGCACAGCCAAACTTTAGCCACACCGGCAATGGTTGTCTTGTGTGTGGGGTACATATGAGACACCCCCCGCTGATCGTTTTAAAAGAGATGCATTCAACTGTTTAGGTACTGGAAGGGGCTGAAGCTGGTAACAGATGGGGGGTTACACGGAGGGTGGCAGAGTTGGGTGGGGAAAGGGAATGATATCCTGATTTATTTTGTGCCTGCCCGTGGAACCGCACGATTGTGTGCCTGCGTGGAACCGCGATTGTGTGCCTGCCGGTGGAACCGCACGATTGTGTGCCTGCCGGTGGAACCGCACGATTGTGTGCCTGCCGGTGGAACCGCACGATTGTGTGCCTGCCGGTGGAACCGCACGATTGTGTGCCTGCCGGTGGAACCGCACGATTGTGTGCCTGCCGGTGGAACCGCACGATTGTGTGCCTGCCGGTGGAACCGCACGATTGTGTGCCTGCCGGTGGAACCGCACGATTGTGTGCCTGCCGGTGGAACCGGAAACCGCACGATTGTGTGCCTGCCGGTGGAACCGCACGATTGTGTGCCTGCCGGTGGAACCGCACGATTGTGTGCCTGCCGGTGGAACCGCACGATTGTGTGCCTGCCGGTGGAACCGCACGATTGTGTGCCTGCCGGTGGAACCGCACGATTGTGTGCCTGCCGGTGGAACCGCACGATTGTGTGCCTGCCGGTGGAACCGCACGATTGTGTGCCTGCCGGTGGAACCGCACGATTGTGTGCCTGCCGGTGGAACCGCACGATTGTGTGCCTGCCGGTGGAACCGCACGATTGTGTGTGCCTGCCGGTGGAACCGCACGATTGTGTGCCTGCCGGTGGAACCGCACGATTGTGTGCCTGCCGGTGGAACCGCACGATTGTGTGCCTGCCGGTGGAACCGCACGATTGTGTGCCTGCCGGTGGAACCGCACGATTGTGTGCCTGCCGGTGGAACCGCACGATTGTGTGCCTGCCGGTGGAACCGCACGATTGTGTGCCTGCCGGTGGAACCGCACGATTGTGTGCCTGCCGGTGGAACCGCACGATTGTGTGCCTGCCGGTGGAACCGCACGATTGTGTGCCTGCCGGTGGAACCTGTGTGCCTGCCGGTGGAACCGCACGATCGCGTGCCTGTGGCCAGCTTTGGCTCAGAATGGCACATTACACATGCCGGTATGCCTGCTGTAGCTGCGATTCCTTCTCTGTTGCAGCCTTGTGTATTCTGCTCCAGGATTGCCAGCACCAAGGGAGAGCTGGAAGCTCCAAGGCCTTCTGCCAGAGGAATGCATATTTACAAGGCCTCTGCCTTCTCACAAGTGCACGCTTGGATGGACATGGGCCGTGGACCGGAGCCAACAAGCTCTTTGTTCCCGTCATCCCTGCCTGTTTCCAGCAATCAAACACACTCTCTTAAAGAGTACCTGTCCCTGACCCACACTCTAGGTAGTGGTTGTATAACGATTTTATAAATGGGCCTTTCCATCTTTTGTGTTAGTAGGATACCAGTTTATAAACCTGCCCGCCGGGTGTGTCCCAGAACCTGCTGCAACTTGTTGGTGAGCCACAATTTGAAAGGAGCTACTTAGTAATGGTTTGGCTTGGATGGGTTATGAATGTTTATTCCACCGCTCTATGGTGAGCGGTCTATGGATGACCACACTAGACCTCTAGATACAGGTACGCGGTTGAAATGTGAACTGTTATGCCTCCATCTATTTCTTCGTTTTAAACACCTGTGCAGATGGGATTCACTGGACAAGTGCAGAGTGCTTTTGACAGTTTGAGATGTGTCTGTAGTCAGAGTTCATTACTAGAGGGTTTGACTTATTTGTCCTGCTTTAGCATTCCTATAGATCTCTATGGGAAGAGAAGCAAACTAAAGACTGTCAGCACCACTGCTGCCTTTTGCAGCCTGCTCATTGGATTATAAATGCTCCTCATTACATAGCTGAGGTCCTCCTTGTTCTCTTCTACCTCCTTTATATTAAAGCAAACTTGTCAGAACCCGGATCTACCCCTAGTGTATGCTAGCACTTCCACTGCATGAACCTAACCTCCGTATGGCTCTGTGTCCTGCCATCACCAAGTCAAATTCCTTCTGCTTCTGGACACGGATTATCTTTTATTCAGGAACCCTCTAAAGGGGGGTGGGGGGGTCAACAATCGGTGATCTACCAGTAGATCTTGGCCAGGTGACTGGTAGATCACGGTCTGGGCTTGCTGACCCGCCATCCCAGAGCATCAAACAGGGTGCAATGCAGAGGAACTACTTGTGATGTTGGAGCTGTAGTACGGAGCAAGAGCCGCATAAACCGATGTCTCCTCTGTAGTGCCGGCTCCTACACCCTGTCATGGTTGGTGGGTATAGCACCTGCCAAGCATGACCCATTCAAGTGAATGAGGCCGCTCTGCAAGTGCCCTGCAACCTTGTGCAGTACAGCAAACAAGGGGTTAAACAGGCAGCGGTGTGTTGCTTCTCACCACCTGCTTTAACCCCTTGGGCCCTGCAGAAGCATGCAGTTGCAGAGTGGCCCCATTTACTTGAATGGGTCTCAATTGACAGGAGGTAGCACCCATCTAAAGCAACAGGGGGTGTAATTCCTGCTTCGGCATGTGTACACGTTTGGCTGCTGCACCAGCAGTTAAAGGGGTAGGGATTTGCTGCTGTAAAACCATGGCTCAACCGCAGGGGTTTACCACACCTCAACTTTACATGTGAACAAGCCCTAAGGGTGTTGCTGCCGGATACAACTAAGGGCTCATTCACAAGTGCAGTAGGCACTGCTGCTCCTCTGTAAAGTGATCCAAGTGTGTTTGACAGGCGGTGAGTCGGCGATATGTTGCCTCCTCACAACCTGATTTAAACTGATGATCAGGGGCGGACTGTCCATTTGCAAACTGCGGCACTGCCCGGGGTCAGTAGGGGGCCCCATGAGATGCCCCTGGTACCTTTTTCATAGGCTTTGAGTTTGGGCAAGAACACAGGGGCCCCATGATCCCCTATTGCCTGGGGGCCCCATGAGTTGTCAGTCCGCCCCTGCCCATGATTGCCGTGCAATGCACACAATTATGACACCATAGTATGGCAATTACAAGTGTAAATGAGGTGACACTGGCCGACACTGTGCCCGATGATCTGTGACGTCTCCCATGTTGTTCAGGTAGATCTCCACCTCTTTATGGTTGCCTACCCCTGCTCTAGGGTCAGTGTCATTTCCTGAACTGAGATGCCAGGTCACAGATGAGAGGCATGTAAATCAGTGGTGGGGGAATTCCATTTCCTATGGGGCCACATGAGAAACTGGAGTTGTTGTGGAGAAGCAAACTTACTTCTGCCCAATATTAACTTTGGACCTTTGGAAGGTCCAGAAGTACATAAACATTTAGAAGACAAACATCTGGCGCTAGGAATAATCAATCTAATTCAAAATAAGTCTCCTTCAGATGGACAGCTGGGCAATAGTAACAATGGGTGGCTGAGCCACAGTTTAACCCCCCAAAATAGCTGGATGGTGCTGTGTGCAGTAGTGTGGTCTTATAGGGTTAAATCAGATGGTGAGGGTTCTAGAACACCTCCTCACTGCCTGTCAAATTCCCTCTGAAAAGCACTGTGACTGGAATGAGAGGCAGAGAGGCAGAGATCAGTACAGCAGGGAGTGAGAGAACAGGTGCTCAGCTCCTGGGGACTGCAAGCATCACAACCAAGCCTCCCTGCTGATGAGCTCCTCAGGCTCTCTCCTTACAGGTCTTGCAGCTCTTCACATGGACATCTGGCAGCATGCCTCTCTGAATCTGTCAGCTTTCTCAGTGAGTGACAGTGGAAGCAGCAAGGGCCAGGCAGCCAAAGGGCCCAGTATGGCCCTGGGGCCACAATTTGTTCAGGTCTGATGTAAATCCTGGTGTTTGTGCATTTCTTGGCTGTGTTTGACATAGATCAGTCCCTTCTGCAGCCTGTCACTTTGCTTCAAAGTTACAATGTTCCAGTGGGATCATGGGGGTGGGGAGACTGAGGAAATGTTTTCTTCTGCCTGCAGCAGACCAATGACATCTCAGCCAAGGAAAAGTCACTGAACTGGAGCTCAAGGATGACTTTTTTAATTGAAAAAAAAAAACAAAAAAAACCCACTTTGTTATGACGTCAGGAAGTTATTCATGCAGACCTGTGGAGTTACTGAAAGGTCCACTTTAAAGTTTAAGCCCCAAAATAATATAAATACAACATAATCAACCTATTATCTTACCATTCTTTGGATGCGGTGGCT